GCAAATATAATGATAATGAAACCGTTTTATTATTTCTTACGTACCAGGCACTATCCTAAGTTCCTTACATCATTATTTAGCCATCACGGGAGCAGGGTCATTATTATGTCACTGTTTCATAGGTGAGGAAATTGCCCATGAGCGAGGCTGAGCCGCTCACCTGTGTTGTTCAGCTAGCAAGCAACAGTGCTGGAAGTCGGTGGTGCTTTTTCCAGTTCTAAGGCTTTCAGGGCTTCTATGGGAGTTTACTAAGGAGGTATATTCAAATCGTTCTGTATCATGAGTGTCCCAACTACTCTAACGGACTCCTTAAATTCCCTTTACTGCCACCACAGAATGCAACAAATTTGGGACCAAGATGATAGAAGGTCTCTCATCTAGCTCTTCTTCTCCTTCTCCTTCTCCTTCTCCTTCTCCTTCTCCTTCTCCTTCTCCTTCTCCTTCTCCTTCTCCTTCTCTTTCTTCTTTATTTATTTTTTTCTTTTTTTGGTCTTTTTGAGACAGGTTCTCACTGTGCAGCTCAGGCTTGCCTTGAGCTCACTTTGTAGCCTGGGCTGGTCTTGAACTTGCAACGAACCTCCTGCCCCAGCCTCCTGAGTGCTGGGATTACAGATGTGCGCCTAACTTCATCTAGCTCTTTTGCAGCCTAAATGGAACAGAAAATATCCTGGACCACTTTCCTGAGAAAGTTTATGGTAGTCAAACATAGTGAAAAACTCTGGGAAACTGAGGCAGGAGGATCACAAATTCTTGACCCGCCTTGGCAGCTTACTGACACCTTGTCTCTGCAAAATTAATTAATTAAAAACAAATTCATGGGGGCTGGTGAGATGGCTCAGTGGTCTAAAGCACCTACTTAGAACAAGCTTAGCAAAACACAGGGACCGTGGTTCAATCCCCCAGCACCACATGCCAGCCAGCCCTGCCCGCTGGTGGGCTGAGCTGACCACACACACACACACACACACACACACACACACACACACACACACAAATAAATAAAAATTAAAAAAACAAACAAACAACAAAAACCAAAAAACAAATTCATGGACTTGGCCACCAATACCAAGCTTTCCCTGGGCCCAGCCAGAAGGCCCTTGATGTGACTCCGCACTGTAGGGTCGCAGACCCAGGCCTGCGCCAGCCTCACTCTCTCAGCCCTTGGAAAAGCCACAAAGACTTCTCCAGGCTCATCTGAGGCCTACAGTGCGGCCACCCTATTCTCTCTTGGTCTGCCTCCCAGCCTCCAGGACACCCATTGGAGAGCGGGCCACTCAGATGGTTCTTATACCCAGTAGCCCCTGGACAAAGGC